TCAGCACCTTCAACTCCCATTGACTTCAATAAGAGTAGGAGGTGTTCAACACCTTGCAGGAAGTGCTCAGTATCATGCAGCATAAAGCCCTACCTCCATTATGATGAAACTACGTAAGTGCTTACTGTTTAGCTTATATCTGAGCTAGTCATTGAACAACCAAATATTTTTATGTGGATGTATAGCAGGTGTATACCTCATTTGTTTGCAGAAAGGGAGCGAATTACTCTAAAGGGATATTGTCAGCATAAAACCACACATTTTGGTGTGAAAACTCTACTCACTGATAGTGCTGCAAGTTAACACCTGAGATCACTATAAGTGAAAGAGATTGGAGAAAAAAGTTTCTCATTTCCCCCCAGTTTGTTTACTTTGTGCATTTGACAGCACTTCGTAAAGAGTCGATTTTAGTGAGTCCTCAGAATGCTCAGTTAAATCAGATTCCCAGTTTTTATGGATTTTTCCGTGCAAAAGGGGAGAGAAAGACATTTTAAAATATAAGAAAATAATTGTAAAGCCATAAAATTCAGCAGAGAGGGCCCTTAAATGTTCATTTAAAAAAAGAGTTAAGTTTATGGTGTCCCTTTAGGATAACTAATTTTTAGTTCTCACCACTGATATTCTGACTCTATTCTTTGAATCCTTATCACTTGTGTTGCAAATGTCAGGATGCCTAAGTAACCATACCCTCCAGGGCATAATTACAAATGGTGACCCATACGGGGATTAGAACTGCTAAGAACCTTGGAAGATTAGGATAAGTTTCTGATGCATTACTTTCACTAATTGTGTGGCTCTTTATTCCCCTCTAGTGGCTAGCCCACACACAGAGGTTTACGAGTCTGCTACTGCCTTTGAGCTAAAGCAACTTGTCCTTTATCTCAAGTAGTATTTTGCTTAATTTCTAAAAATATAATAAAACACCCAGCCACTGTTTAGGTTACCTTGACAATCTTTCTAAAATTTCCCCAAATAAACAGACCAATCAATCAAATAAAACTCAGCAGGAAGCTGAATAGAAATTAATGTACCCCCATGCAATTCCCACAGTCCCCCTTCTTCTCCCCACCACTCCCAAGTCCCCTTGCACTGCCAGTCTCAGTTCCCCCTTTCCCAGTTCATCTGATTTGTCTCCTCCCATGCCCAATGTTCCCCAGTCCCCATTCCTGAACTATTCATCCACTCAGTGCCTCCCAACCACCCCAAGCTCATTATCCCAATCTTTGCTCAGCCAGGAACAGTTCTCACCACAAACTGGTTCCACATCATGCCTTCCCCACCAGTTCCCAGCCCTCCACCCCTCGTTCCTCATCCAGTACTCCCCTCTGGTTCCCAGCCCATCCTGTTTCTCTTCCTGGCTCCCAGTCTCAATCTCCTTGCTCAGCCAGTACCAGTTTCCCTCTTTCCCCCTCACTAGCCTCCAGTCCAAGTCTCTTCCCCACAACAGTCTCCCACCTTGTCCCAATCTGCTCCCTCTGCCCTTGCAGGACCAACTCTTTTCCCCGCTGCATTTGAATCAGGTAGCTTCTTTCTCCACGTTGAAGGAATCCACAGGGGGAGGTACTGAGAACACAAGACAGACAGGCTCCCTGCTCTCAGTTCTGGTGCCTGGCTCTGAGCCCAGCACAGAAATTTCAGGGAAAGTCTTCTTCAGCCTGTGGCTGGGAGCATGCCCCGTGTAGAAGGAATCTTCGGAGATTTTTAGCTGTTAAACTCCAAGAAGTCTGTATTAAGCATGTACAAACTGCAATTTTTCAAAGGCTCAAACCTTCGCCAAATCTGAGTGAATTTTCATAGAGACAAAAAAAGGCACTTCCCTTGCCAAATTTCAAGTCCATATTCCAAAGCACAAGGGTATTACACTATCTCAAAGAAAAGGTCACCAGAATTTTTAACATGAGCAAAACAACATATTTGTCCCTAACCTCATTCTTGGAAATCCTTGGGATATTTTGTCTGAAACTGTCAAAAACAATTCAGCCTGAGGCAGATTGAAATTTTCCATGCCACCAGTCCAACTGGTTAAAAAGTTTAGTAAACTGAAAACAGGGTTTTATCATGGAAAGTGTTGGGCAACCTTAATAATAGGCAGCACTACTCACCCCACCTATAACATCAATATCATTTTGACAAATTCTAATTTGAGGCTCATTTGAAAATTTTCTAGTCTCCTGGTTCAGTGTCTCACCTTAACACCTCAATAAATACAGGTATATTACACATTGTGGTGAAGAGGTTGCAAGTTTATATTTTTACAGAAAGAACAGACACCTGACACGTAACAAGTCTTTTTACAGCAGCGTCACCAACGATATTATTGTTAGACCATCAATAGATTGCATGTACTCTTTCACAGCTAAACTTTTTTAAGAGTGCCCAGATTCACTATGAGAACTACAGATTTGTAGGCAAAAGCAAGTGATGCAAATTGGGTAAGTTTAAGTGTTAACAAGACATCTTTCGTCTTGCCACCATATAAAACAAAAACAAAAAAACTCCCACCATTGTAGTACAAAGTGGCTCTGGTGACCTGTATGAAGAACTTGAGCAGTTCATGCAGTCAATGGATAGGTTTATACTACCAGACAATAACCTAAAGACAGAATAAAAATGACTTTATTGAAAAAAAATATTGCAATTGTAAAAGATGTTTGAAAGCCTAAAAAATGTTTAAATTAGGGTAAAAATATGTATCAAAAGTTGAAGTCAGGAAATTCAAAGAAAGGGCTCTACAAATATCCCTAACTCCATCACCCCTCCATACCCTGCTACAGCATGTGCTACTCACATGACAACTTCACATCTATGCTAAGTATTACAAATAAATAGGAATGAAATAAAAATGAAAAAGCATCACTCTATTAATGTTTATACCTCTCTGGGCAGTAGGTAAGATAATCTTTGAAATAGGCAAGATCACATGGCCCTCTCTGTTCAATAAAATGAGATGACCTGTGGCAAGTTTTGGTAAGGCAGATACATATTTTGTTATGTGTATGGGAAGTCTGAAACCATACAGGGGGGTGGGGGGAGGGAGAAGATCTCTACTTTCTTAATCTTCATACAGAAAGGAATATAGGATAATTTAAATTTATAGCAGTTCAGCTGCCTTGATGTTGTGGCTCACAGTGGATCAAGTAGATAACAGATATTTAGTGTAGGTAGAACTGTGAAAATGGTCTCTTGATTAGAGTGAAAAATGGGATAGGAAAGTGCTAAGTCATTGGTCTTGATAAGAGACAAGATTTTGGTGCAACTGGCTAACAAGGGAAAGATTAATCAAGAAGAGCACGTAATGGAATAGGTAGCTCTTACACTAGTATGGATTGCTCCTGAAGGGATGGGGTGGAAAGTGACTCATACTAGGAGCACAGAAAGAGGTATAGGGCATCTGTCTTAAGGAGAAATGGCTTGATTAGTTATCTGGTGGTGGTGGCCACTACCTTTCTCCTGCTAGTTTCAAATATGTTCAGTGAAAGGATTCTACTGCTTTTCTGGCTTCCCTCCTTCTGGGGAAAAGTTAAGAGTTCACGGAAGGAGAGGAGGATCTGGAGAGCTTTAGGCTATGTGGATGGGGTGGTGGTGAAACTGTAGCTTTGGCACTTATCACCCAACATATAACTGGAGAAATGCAAGGAAACATCACTATGAAAGCACAGATCTACTTGGGAAGGAGTCCCACATTGCTCACCAAGTGATTCAATTATCCACCCAAGAGCATAGGATACAACACTGGAGTGTTTACCTCTTTAGAAGTAGCTTGGTCCAATGGGATTTTTGGACATACATCTTAAAGAATCATTGATGGGGAAGTACAGCCCAGTTTGCTAAAGTCAGGGGCTGACTTGTCTTACCAGGTGTCTCCAGAGATTACACTGATGTGTTTGGAAGCAGAGCTTCCCAACAAGCTCTTCAAACTCTGATCCCCTACTCATTGGAAAGCAAGGGTCTGTGGGCTAGGAGCAATCATAGCACAACTCCTCATTAGCTGCTTTCCTGCTCCATGATGGAGAAGTGGAACAGAGAGGCTATGCAGCTGGCCCCATTCAGGGAGCAAAGTTCTGCAAATTTGGGACTTGGAGGAAAGAAAGATCAGTCTCCCCCCCCTTCCTCCTTAAAGGGGAAGATTACACTTTTATATCACTGTTTGTACCACTAGAAGAAGAGAATCTGGCTCTAGGGCAAAGGCATGGGCAAGCCCCAAGGCCTTACAAGAGAGGTAGAGGCTCAGCCTGACTATCTCAGACTGGGAGAGCTCAAGATCCAGAAAAAGCCATTCCTTATTCAAGGAGCTCAATGAGAAATTCCATATACAGGAGTAGTTGAAGGGAGGGGCTCTAACTCTAGCTTCCAATATAAAACTAATCACCATCTTGACTACACAGAGACTAGTAGCTCTCTAGATTAGCCAGCTACATGGTATAAGAGTTATCACCTACTGGTCTCGTAGTAGGCAAGAGCTGGAGATTTCTATTTAGCATGGAGCACAAACACCAATCCGGCCCTAGAGAGGTTTGCGTCTGCTGAATACCAGACTCAAAAATTCCATCCAACGTCTTCTGCAGAGACCACACAAGGACTCAAAATGTCCTTGTCATTGCTTACACAGTAGGGCTCTGTGCTTTAGAAAGCAGAAAAATTACTGATATGCAGCATATTATACCTTGACACCATTTAGAGTCAGAATCTATGGATGGTTTAGTTACTCTGATGTTTCTTGTTCTTCAAAACCAAACATTCAAAAGCCCCATAACCATACCTTCTGTTTGCTGGTTTTGGAACTCACGGTCTTCTTTGGTAACTAGCATGCTGCAATTCTTCTGTATGCCTCTCCTGAACTCCTCCCCAAAAGAAAACACCCCACTGTAATTTATTTTAGTAGGCCAGGTGTAGAAAGACATCTTGTTAAGAATGAATGCAAAGAAGCCTGAAAAAACCTTTTAATGTTCAGGAGAGTCTAAAAACAGGACTAGACAAAGAATTATAGGAAACATTTGATATTTAGATCATTTTTCACTATTGTTTTTATTAGCATCGAATTTAGAATTATCATTTATACTGTAGCAACACCTAGTAGCTTTAGCCAAATCATACTGTTATTGTGCTAGCACTATACATTTCTCATAAAAGCCAGTATAGGTCATTCTTATTTACATTTCAGGGAACATAATGGAAAACAGATAGAGAAATAATTCCATTGATGGGTTCTAGATGCCACTCAAGCCACTTCAGCTTGTCACTCCAATACCAGAAGTTAATCAAAATGAAGTTTAAATGGAGTTTCCTAATCTCACTTGTGCTCTGGAATACAAGAATTGATGCTAGCCTTTAACTACTAGTGACAGTTGTGTGATGAGTTGCAGAAAGCGTTTGTATTCTTTCAATAAAAAAAGGAAATAGGCAAGTGAGTGACTACAGTTAATCTTAGCATATTTAAGAAGTGTTTACTAATAGTCCTTTTATTTATCCAGCGATTACGTATAGCTAGTTTTGTATCTCATGAAGCCAACATGAGTTACACAAGGGTCAGTTGTGTGGTATTGACTAACGTATTATGTAGCATGAGCAATGTCAACAGTACAAGAACTATAGAGTTTAAGTATTTCACTGGGAGTATGCTACAAATCAAGTCAGAAACTACGTGCCCATTATAATAGGCAATCCAATTCAGATTACAAGAACAAATTAGAGGGACTTGTATAAACTCTGCAACTTCACTTAAATGTTACTGATTTTTATCATATATTACATGTCTTCATAATGGGATGAGATTGGCTTCCCCAGCAGGAACATCTGCAACATTAGGGGTGCATACGATGTCCTTAAAATTCCCACTGAAGCCACATTCAGATTTCTTCAGAGCAGATGATTTGAATCACTAACCTGGCAAATAAATAGAAAGGTTTATTAATGAGTCTGAATTTTAGAAGATTACAACTGAATAAAAAATTACAACCAACAGCGATGACTAGTTATAGTGAAATGGTTAACAGACTTATTAGCAAGGATCTCTTTTGCCATTAATTGATATCTATTTTATGGAATAGACACATGCATAGGAGAATACAGTTTATACTACACAGACAAACGATCTTGTTTGGTTTCAAATTTATTCAGGGTTCCTGCACATAAATCCAAATATACATTTTGTAAGGACAGGTTTGAAGGAACCAACTGAAAGTTTATAGCAGTTTTTAGTGTTCAGCAAAAATCGGTATTTGCTAAACAATATCAGACTGCAAAGTTACTCTTACTGTTGGTAGATGGATAATGACATGGAATAAGTCATTATCTCCGTGGCAACAGAATTAGGATTGTTGGAGGAATATTGCACATGGTTCTGCTATTACTCTTACAGGCATGCCTCGGCTTCCTCAGACAGATGCTCTCTCTGCAAGCCTGGTAAGCCCCGAGTACAAACAACCCAGGGCAGCTCCAAGACCACAGACATGTCATACGAAACTCAGAAAATCCTGGGCAAAGTTTTCAAGAGTGACGTAAACACGATGGAGCCAACAGTCAATAGAATCTAGGCACCTAAGTGCCCACATCATTTATAAAAGCAGGGACTTAAACACCTAAATCACTTCAGTGACTTTAACATTTTACCCTTCAGCTTTTAACTACTAGAGAAAGAGGGTGACCAAATAGCAAATGTGAAAAATCAGGATGGGGATAATAGGAGCCCATACAAGAAAAAGACCCAAAAATCAGAACTGTCCCTATAAAATCGGGACATCTGGTCACCCTAGCACCGTGCATCCCTTCACCAGGCACCAACCAGGTTACCACGCCTCCCCCCCCGCCTTGAATATCACCCTCTCCTACAGAAGCCCTGCTCACAGGTAACGGCTAGGTCTTGATAGCGACCAGCGGGAAGGTGGTTAGAAGCTCTTCCCGCCCCGCTTTGCTCCGTCACACACCAAGGCGGACGGAGCCTAGTCTCAGCGAAGCCGGCCCCGCTGGCTCTGCCGGAGGGTCTCTAGGGCCCTCGGGGAAGCGCGATGTTACCGAGCCTGATGGACACCCGGCCTCGTGGCAGCCGGACACGCCTGGGAGACAGTGACCAAGCCGCTTCCCCACTAGGCCTCGGCCGTCATGCGCGGCGCGGCCCGCCCAGACCTGCTCGCTAGAGCCACAGGCACCCGAGCGCCCCGCGGGGCGAACCGACCCCGGACAGGGCGCGGCACCACCCAGCGAGGCCCGTTGTGCTCCAGCAAGGCTCTAAGCCCAGAGAAGCAGCTCGCGGATCGCGGTCAGCGCCGGCGGCCGCAACCAGATTCCCCCACCCCCGCCGCAGACACCGCGAGCCGCACCACGCTGTACCTCCGAGATGCCCCGCCACACCGGAAGCGGAAACAGCTAAACATTACCTACCCTACCCTACCCCACCCCACCCCACTCCACGCCACGCCACGCCGCCGCCGCCACCTCCTTTCTGTAGCAGCACCCTGACTAGCCTCACCCTACGCGGCTAGTGCAGCCAATAGTAATGCAGAAGGGGCTGGATTAATAATTCAGTGGGAGGGCCCATCCGGATATGCGGCGTATTATTGGTTGCCAGGGTCGATTGACACATTTTTATATCCACTCAAGGCCTGCCATATGATCTCAGGCTCTGCCTATAGGGAGGAAGCGCCTTGAACTGGTGGATGGGCCCAAAAAGTCTCTGATGCACTCTATTGGCAACGGATGTGGATTGACAGATATTTGTGCCTATCTGTGGGTGAAGCTATCCGTGACGTTTTGCCGCTTCTACCAATGGGAGGAGGAACGGACTGGAGGTGGATCGGCGTGCCTATGTCTCTGGGTGTAAGAAGCTGCCGCTAGGCAAGGCAGCGATGAGCGGTTCTTTGTGCTGGCTGCGCGCGGCCTCGCTGCTGCGTGGTGCCCCGCTGCGATGGGGCGCGCGGCCCCTCAGCCAGGCCGCGGCCGGGGACGGCTCGTCCCCTGGCGGCGGTGAGGGTGGCCGAGGGTCGCGGGAGTCGGTAGAGCGGCTGGTGCGGGCGCACCCCGTGGTCGTGTTCATGAAGGGCAACCCGGCCCAGCCTCTGTGCGGCTTCAGCAACGCCGTGGTGCAGATCCTGCGCCTGCACGGGGTGCAGGACTTCCAGGCGTACGACGTGCTGCAGGACCCTGACCTCCGGCAAGGTTAGCGCCCGGTTAGCCTTAGGAGGCCGTGGGAAACCAGACACTCTCCCCCCCCCCCACACACACACACACACGCTGGAGGGGGCGGTGGAGGGAAGACAGAAAACTTCCACGTACACACCCAAAAGGGGACCCAGTAGGGGTAGGCAACCTATGGCACTCGTGGCACGCGAGCTGATTTTTGTGGTACTCACACTGCCCTGGTCCTGGGCACCTGTCTGGGGGGCTCTGCATTTTAATTTATTTTTAAATGAAGCTTCATAAACATTTTAAAAACCTTATTTACTTTACATACAACAATAGTTTAGTTATATATTATAGACTTACCGAAAGAGACCTTGTTAAAATGTATTACTGGCATGCGAAACCTTAAATTAGAGTGAGTAAATGAAGACTCAGCACAGCACTTCTGAAAGGTTGCTGACCCCTGTGGGGTTTGCTTTTCTCCAAGGGTGCACCAGCAGCTCTCACTGACTTTAATGGAGCTATAGGTGCTCACCAGTTCTGAAAAACCGGGTCTGAAGTGCTTGCTATGAGAGAGAAAGTCACAAGGGGATGTTATCCTGTTGTGAGCTGGCATCCCTCTTTGTCACTCCGCAATGGCCCGAGTTGTAGCCCATCTCAGGAGTAGCTCAGATTATCAATTGTAGAGGAAGGGTGATATTGGGACTTGGAGTATAGAGACCTGGGTTTTGTTCATGACTGCTGTAGATGTGTGGTTTTCTGCTGCAGTTATCAGTAGGGCCTAAGGAAGTTAAGTAACCAAATCCTATTGACTGTCAGAATCCTTTGAAAATCTATTTCCATGGCACATCTGTAAGACAGAAGTAAAATTTATCTGCGTACTTCACTTAGGCAATGTAATCTTAATGTTTCTAAAACACTTGAACCTCTTCAGTTGGAATGTGCACAAAGCAGTATAGATATCAGCTCAGCTGTACATTGTATTGCCTGAAAGCATCGTCCTGGCATAACTTCATCCTACAGTGAAATTTTGTAGTCTCTGAAAGTCATCCCAGAACCCATTAACACTTTGGTTCACCATGTTTCAAATTGGGATGATCCCTGAGAGTCACAAGTGTGTTCACGGGTTAAAAGGTGAGGCCCACAGAGAGGACAAGCTGTGGCATGATTCTTTATCTTGGTCTGAGCAGCCAATCCATGTGGCTTGTTTTCTTTGCAGATTGCATCATTTTTCTTTTTTGAAAGAAAGAGTCTCAATTCACCTAGACCCGTGCTCACTGTTACAGGTAATGGTGCCAGTACCATATATTAAGGGAAAATGGAGGCTATAAACAAATTCTGCCATTTACACACTTAAACTTGTTTATTATGGGCTTTTTAAAATGACTAGAATACCTGAAACATAGTGTATGCCAGTAACAGTGGAATACAAGAATATTTTGTCTATTGACTCAAAGCTATAACATTTCTGAATAAGCTTCAGTAGGAAAATAATTTGTCAAAATCATCACCATCAGCTTGCTAGAACACTGTTTTTTATATGCTTGACTGGAGCAACAGAAAGCTGTGAAGGAATATGTTCGCTCAGACAAGATAGGCAAGGCTCATTATCTTCATCCTACTGAATTCAAATCTTAATTTGAGTTACAGTTTGTGCTCTGTTCTGTTTATGCAAATTATTTGCAGTCCTCCAGACTCTTACAAACTTCCAGTGTGGTCTCTAGGTTTTGTGAAATTTGGGTCAGAGGTGGCACAGTTCAGAAGTTATGACTGAATGACATCTCCTTTTGGTTCTCAACTCTTTACAACTTGACAGTTGCTTTGCAGCTCTCCTGATCTTAAACAGCCATTGACACTTCATCACAATAGTTTTGGAAAATATTTTGTTTAGAGACAATTCTATTTTGGTTTGTATTTTCCTCCCCACCATTTGAGTATTATTATTAGGAATGGTAAGCATTTATACGGATAACAAAGATGGATGATAATACTTAGTCCTGCCTTGAGTGCAGGGGACTGGACTAAAGTCCTCCCAAGGTCCCTTCCAGTCCTATGATTCTATGGTAGTTATATGATAGTTATAGTAGTAAACCTGAAAAAAAAATCAGCCTAAATGTTCATGTTTCAGAACCTGCTAATGGACAGAAATTTCCCCTGAGGCTAGGTTATTCTATAAGTATATTTTATGGGGATTCTTGCATCTTCTATTAGAGCATTTGGTAGTGACTGCCGAGAGAGAGAGAGAATACCAAAACTGAATACTTTTTAAGCCACTAGTCTGATCCCTTATGTGGCATCTCCTTCCCTCTCTTGTCACTAGAATCTTATCCGCTCCTAAAACTTCTCATTTGAAAATCTTGGTTTCTGTTTTACAGCAGGTTGATATCTTAGAGAATTGGGATTTCAGTTGTTGGAAGTGAAGCAGAAGCCACAGATGAACTATGAAAATGTGTGTGGGGGGGGGGGAGGTACATAAGAAATAATCCTTCCCGTACTTTAATTTTTGTGATATTTTTTGTGACTACCAGATTTCTAGCCACCCCCAGAATACAGTGGTTCTTGGACTGTCATCCTTGGAGATCTGGCTGTTCACATACTGCTTCTTGACCTCGTTGAGATGCTAAATTGCATTAAGAGGCAACTAAATGTGTTGTTATAACAATACTTTTTCTTATTGTAGTTGCCTCGGGAATGTTGTGAGGTTATCAGGAAAATTATTAATGGAATGTGAAATGGCCCAAAATACGATCTGTCTTAAGGTGTGATGGACACTGAAAAAGTCTGAGAACTCCTACCACAGTACATCAGTTTACAGTGTATCAGCATTGACTGCTCAGGACTTTCCCTTCTTTTGATAAAGTATAAAATATGCCTTCTCAGACCCCAATAACATGCACAAGAAATATTCAGGGAACACTCTGCTATCCCGAGCAACCTAGAAGCTAGCTTATGTGAAAGCATTTGTGCCTGTTTTACTGGAACTCCATTTCTAGAAGGTTGCTAGTCTGATCACATGAAACTTCTTTCTGCTTGCTTCCCTTTTGGACATGCCTAGCTTAGTGCTAAGGTTTTATGGGGTTACTTGAGTATAGTGATTGTGAAGTGGGATATTTTTGCCTTGAAAGCAGACTTGCAGGTGTAGGGCATTAGCAATGCTTACTATGAACACTTTACAGCACGTTTGTTTGTTTTTGGTAGGATAGGAATGTAGTACTTTATATTTAGATCCATCAAGTGGATGATTTCTTTCTCTGCACCCCCATTTTCCCCTTTACTTATTGCATTTGGGCCTCTGCCGTCTTCTTTTCATTTAGCTTTTAGTTGAAAGGGTTATATCTGGACTTCATTTTTTTTTTTTTTTTTTTTCAAATTGCTTGTCAGTTTCATGACTTAACTGTAGTGAGATGTCATGGTTAAAGTAAAATATTAATACCAAAAGGTCTTTTACATTATATTCAAACTATCTTATTTTAGTTATTGGTAAACTTGAGATTTTAGGATCATGCTTTCTGGAAGTCTTTATTAAACTTCAAAAGATAAAAATGTTGTAGCTCTTTCCATTTCTAAAGTAAAATGATTTGTTAATCTTACGATTTAATAGAATGAATTGGTAAGTAAAAAATAGCATGCAGCTGGGTTTCTTTCATGAACCTTGAACAGGTCAGTAGTTCATTGTGTAATGATCCACAGAGTGAGTTTATTTAAACTCTGGGATTGGATCATAGGTATGCAGCATTGAAAACAATGTTATGACATTTTATTTGTTTTCCCCTTTTGTAATAGGAGAAGTTGGTGCACTATACACCTAGGGGAGAATGTTGATACGTTCTTAATATTTACACTTAAGGACCTGTTCAACATTCACTTCTCAGGTAGTGTTCTCATTGTTTTCAGTGGGAGTTTTGCCCAAGGAAGGGAATAAATAGGGAATGCTGAAAGAAAACTGACAGTAGGGAGTAAGGAGGGACACCAGACTTTAGGGGATGGAACTGCAAATATGAGAGAGAGAAGAATTATTTTGTTAGACACTTTCATCTGTAGTGAAAATAAAACATATCCTAGGTAAAGGGGCTATTTATAGTTAAAATGGTACTTTAAAATGCTTTGCTGTGACTGTTTAAAATGTAAGCATATTAAAATGTTAGCTATAACATATCTCAAGATGCAGTTTCTAAAGAATTAGTGTTGATGGGATTAGCTTTCTGTATCTGCATTGTTGACTGTGTAAACCATAATCTCTCACATGATTGGAATTCAAACATTTCCTTTTCAATATATATTTCAGTATGGAAGTGAGTAAGGAGAATTGGTTAATCTGATTAGAAATCAGAAAACAAAGCACTTATTGAGGTAGAAATTTGTTTATTATAGCAGCTAAATGAGTAAATGGTTTGGATAGGTCATATTCTTTCAAGTGGAGAAAACAGTCTAAGATTGTTTAGCTTGATACAGTATCATCTGGGAGGCACCTTTAACAGCCATTAGGAATTTTCCATAATGTACACTTTAGATAGCACTGTTCTATTGTCAAAGTCAAATTTGTAGTAATCATGAAACACAACAGGTCTTATAATTTTTAAAGAACTTTTAAGGCACAGATAAATCATAGAATTTAGGTGGAAAAGACTTAATTTGACTCCATTGTTTGACTGCAATTTGCAGAACATAGTCTCTTGCATATGGATATATCTGCTATTAAGTTGGTACCTTGGTTTATTATTGCCGTTAAAGAATTGTGTTTTAGAAAATACATTTTTACATTTCTGTAAGATGGGAAAACTTAATCTCTCCATGTTGTGTACTACTTGGTCTTAATATTTTTCAGTCAATATTTTGTTACCCTGCACTGTGGGGCACATCTGCTTAGAGCAGTGGTTTTCAAACTGGGATACATGAGTTCTTGTCAGGGAGTATTCAAGGAAAATCCTGTAATGGCGGACAACGCATTTGATTTAGTAACACTTGGCAATCTAATCACTGGTATATTATGATCGTATCTCAGATGGGGGGGATACAATAGACTACATTATTTGGAAAAGGGTACACAGCCTACAAAGTTTGAAAACCACAGACTTAGAGCCTGGTCTGGGATCCTAATTAATGTCTGACTAGAGATGAGCATGCAGTGATATGGTTCTTTGCACTTTAAAGTTAAGAAAGTGAACTGTTAGGTTTGCAGCATTTGGTACGATATTAAAGTTACAAACTGCATGTATAAACTCTTTCAACATCTGTAATAATTCTTCCTTATCTTCCTGAGATCCTTTAACTATAACTAGCATCAACAAGTAATAATGCTTGGCATCAGGGTATTCTGTTGTGAACATTTTTGACGGGTCTTATTTAACCTTTTATGTATATAATTTAAAAAATTGTTTAGTCTACATGGCTTTTCATAAGGGTTAATTGTAGCAGACTACACATTTATTTCTTAACTTGTGATGCTAAGCACATTTTCATAGTGTGTCTTAGGTGCATGTTACATCTTGTGCCCCTCCCATGAATTTCAGCATCTGCCAGTAAAAGATAAAGCACTGAGAAATTCAAGGACTGTTCGAGGACAAGTTGTCTAGCAAATGAATTTGCAGTAGCAAATAGTGCTGTATAAAGGCGGTAAGAATGTATTCCCTACAAGGAGTTTTAATAATCCCACAGAGGATACTGTAATTAAATTCCCCATACAAACAGTACTGGACACTGATTTAAAGGGCTCCTGTTTCTTTAGTTGGCCAAGTAAGTCACTTTAGTACAGTGGTTCATTTTATGGTAAAAATGAGAAAGTAAGGAATTTTTCAGTAATAGTGTGCTGTGACACTTTTTTTTTTTGTATTTTTATGTCTGATTTTTTTAAGCAAGTCATTTTTAAGTGAAGTGAAACTTGGGGGTACTCAAGACAAATCAGACTCCTGAAAGAGGTACAGTCGTCTGGAAAGGTTGAGAGCCACTGCTTTAGTAATCTTCTCTCATCCCCAGGAAGCAAGCATGATGCTTGCACAGCTCCTGTTTAAGAGTCACAGTTGGAATTGAACTCCAGTCTCAAATTTCTAGCTCTAGGTGGGAACCAAAACAAAAAAAAGTTTAGTAGAATGTGGTTAATTCTGATGACTCTTATGCAATAAACAGGACCCAAAGCCTCAAAGAGAAGGAACTGAGAGTATTAAAATCTGCATGCTGCTGAAGCAATGCCGCTTACTTTTAATGAATTCCAGTATAGTTGAAAACAATAGATTTAACCTTTTTTAATTTATTTTCTGGTACAGGAATTAAAAACTACTCCAACTGGCCTACCATCCCTCAAGTATACCTTAACGGTGAATTTGTTGGTGGCTGTGACATACTCCTCCAGATGCATCAGAATGGAGACCTAGTGGAAGAGCTTAAGAAGTTAGGAATCCGCTCTGCACTTTTGGATGCAGAAAAAGACCAAGACAAAAAATAAAACAAGCAAGATATTTCATTTTAAAAGATGGGACTATAATAAACAAAACCTTTGACAATAACTTATTACCAGTAAAGCCTTATGTGTTATCTCAAAGGAGGCATCTTTTTGAACTGACACTAACGTTTGTTTGTCAGTAAACAAATGGTAGCTCATGGTACAGGTTATTTGGTATTTTGGTTTAAGGATATTCTGTTGTGAAAATTTGATTATAACATTGCACTGTAATTCAAATGTCTGTGGAACTGAAGTAAACAAGCAGCCTACTTCTACGTGTGTCAATTCTTCTTGCCTGAGGCAGGAGTAAGTGAAAGATTGTAGAATATTATTTTTATGGCTCATCTGTGTATATCACTTGGCAAATGCTTTGATATATAAACCTATGTAGATAGTGTTTGTAGCTTTTTTGCTTCTCTTGAAAACACTATCAAATAACTGCTGTCATTCTGTATGAACACTTGAAGATAGGACTTCTTGGGAACCTGTAAACTTGTGTATTTATGTTACCTGCAAATATGTTTCTAACAAATTGGAGGAAAACAGTCACATGAGTGATCTATGAAATACACCTTTATTCCTACAGCTATAAATAAATACATTAGTAAAAACAAATGATACATTGGTCATTATTGCTTTGTTTCCCAAACTGTAGGTTGTAACTACTGATGGCTTTTGGGAGACTACTGGGAGTTGTGACTAAAAGGTTTTAAAGTAATTTTCTATTGTACCTCTGCCAAAAATGGCCTCGGTTTTTACACTTTGTGAAATTTAAGTCTCTGTTATCAGTGCTCAGATGTGGAAGTTCTATAATTCTTCCTTATGGAGAGTGGAATAACTTGAAAACCATTAATATAATCTTATACTACTTGTCAGCAGCTACACTCTTTAGCTTTCCGCTGACAAATATTCATTCCTATTTGACTGCTGTGCCACAAAGAGTGTTTTCAAATATGAAGTAAACAAATGAACTGTTTCTTCTAGGTACCAGTACAGAAGAGCAAGGGAGGAGATCTACTGGGTAGATGGCAGAATTGTTTGCTTATTGTCTCTGTTTTCTGTGAAGTGTCAAACACCGGTGTTTCTATAAATAAAAAAGGTCATACAGTATATCTGAAAAAAAAAATTAGCAAATTAAAGTTAGTAGTCCCTCAAGAACTACTGCTATTTAGTTTTATGAGTAAAAGCAGCGTTTGTCCATGGATTGAGCAAATAATCTGAAAAATAATTATCCTGTGATCGTATGATTGTCTACATTATTTTGATTTATCATAAAGTTTCTAATGAATTTGATTATTTTTGTTTTGAATATTATTATTATTGAGCATTCTTTCACTGTGTGATTAACAGAAAATGTGCTTTTTTTGAATTAAGAAAATTCTGAAGGGTGGGGAGAATTCAGGGCTATAACTTTTTTGCAAATTAGGAATGAGCAAAATGAGAGGTGTGGAGTATAGGAGTCCATTTCAAATCTCTTCTGTCTAGGTGCTTCTTTGAGAGATAGTTCAAGTGCAGAAATCATGAAAGTTAGCGAATTCTTCAATGAATACTATTATATTTTACAATAACCTGACTAAATATGTCTAATTCCATTAAGGAAGTAATGAGGAAAGTATCAATATGAAATACAATATTTATATCACCTGCTTACAGTAGTGTATTGTGAATTTTTAAATTGTACTTTGGGCTAGGTACCTGTGGTGGCTTCTCTTACTAAGTAAACAAGTGATTATGATGTTAAATGTTCATAGTGGATATTTGAATCAGTTTTTTGAGTACACTAAAGCATGCCTATTTTCAGATGCTCTTTCAGATCCTCAGGTCTGTTCTTAATACCCTCAGGATGTAAAACTGTAACACTCCTTGGTCAATATCTCTAAGTGGGTATGGAACTAAAAGTGAGATTTAAGATCAAGCAAGACAAATGTAGCAATGAGTATGTACTGTGTATAAACACCCTTAGTTTTGTCTCCATAGCATCCCCTTTGGTTATTTTATTACAGTACAAAATAAACTAGACTTAAGAGCAGCTATTTGCAAATGTCAGTCATGTATAATTATAGGCGGGTGAAGTCTCAGTTTGTGTACCACATTGTATTCATGAAGTGCACCCTGCTAATTTTAAACACTTGAACGTCAGTTCTGTGTACTTCAGTCTTAACTTCCTTACTCTACTATTATACATCCAAAAATAGCTTTGTGTACATAAAGCCGTTACAAACTATCTTGTTTTCAAAATGAAATACTCTTAAATTCTGTTTTTACTTCCTCCTTTTCCTTTGGGAGATGTAAGTAGTTTTCACCATCACATGCTAACATCTAACACACAAGCTCACGATATTATTTTTCATTCATCCTCACTTTGCTCCTCAACTGTTGCCCAACCTAATTGTTTGAAAAATACTCCATGTTACCTAACCTGCTGAGGAAAATATTCATTCATGGTAGGTTTTCAAATATTTATTCAAACAAATAAACCTCAGAGCAGCCCTGTAACTCAAGTATATAATACCTCTGTCTTATTGCTAGAGTTTCTCTTTTCACGTTGATTAGAGGTGTTGATCTTACTGCTTACATAGTACATGAGTATACCAGGGGAGGCCAAACTTACTGACCTCCAAGCTGCATACAACATTCTTCAGAAGCTCGAGAGGCGGGGCACCCCTGTTGGGGTACAGGGTTTCAGCCCTGTGGGAGGTCCCTGATGGGGTTTGGGGCTTCAGCCCTGCTCCTGTTGAAGCAGCGAGCCCTGGCAGGTGTTCCCCACAAGGCTGAAAACCTGAAACCCCACCCCTCCCTGCTGGAGAGAAACCCCTACCCCTCCACCCAGCTGCAAGGCAGAGGTCCTAAGATCTCTGCCCCACCCTCTTTCCCCCTCCCAATCTGGTAGGTGGAGAATGGAAGGGGAGGGGGGCTCAACGAGCCACACTTTAATTGTAAAAGAGTCGCATGTGGCTCATAATCCACAATTTGGCCACCCCGGAGTATACTGATGCTGACAAACTTCAGCAGCACACTGGTTTTCTCTGACTCTTCCTTCTTCCATTCCATAGAATTTTAGCTTTTATTATTGAATGGCAACTTTCTATAGTATGTGATAGATTTTAAGCAGGCTTTACTGGATAATTCAGTCAGTTACCTGATCTGAGTGTGTTTGAGCAAGTTAGGATATCTCCATTCACTATCTCCTAGAACTGGAAGGGACCTTGAAAGGTCATCGAGTCCAGCCCCCTGCCTTCACTAGCAGGCCCAAGTACTGATTTTTGCCCCAGATCCCTAAGTGGCCCCCTCAAGGATTGAACTCACAACCCTGGGTTTAGCAGGCCAATGCTCAAACCACTGAGCTATCCCTCCCCCATTGTAGTCATTTTTGCCGCCCCAAGCACGGCAGGCAGGCTGCCTTCGGTGGCATGCCTGCAGGAGGTCCCCGGTCCCGCGGATTCGGCGGCATGCCTGCAGGAGGTCCGCCAGTCCCACGGCTTCGGTATACCTTCCGCCGAATCTGCAGGACCGGCGGACCTCCTGCAGGCAAGCCGCCGAAGGCGGCCTGACTGCCACCCTCACAGGGACTGGCAGGGCGACCCCTGTGGCTTGTCGCCCCAGGCACGTGCTTGGAACGCTGGTGCTTGGAGCTGCCGCTGTCTCCTTGGCATATCTGTTAGGGAAAACTCGGGACTTTTTGTACACATTAAATGGGACATAACTAAATTGAGTTTAATTCACTTCTTTCAGCTATTTTGGGGCAAGTGTGTGTGTAAACTCTTATTTCAGATTAAGGCATTTTAAATTGACAAGTTAAATTGAAATAGGGCACTTTTAATATGAAATAAGAATGTTCACACAGAGACTTGCACCAAAATAAATATTTGAATTAAAAGATATTGTGGTCCTAGTTTGTATGTTCTAGTTTATGTAGACATGTCCTTACTTCTAGGACAGGTTCTGGAGAAGCTGGTGAAAACCCTGGCAAAGATCCACTTCTCCAGTCTCTCATACTAAAGAAATCCAAAGCAAAATTATTTTCTCCCCTCCTGATTTGTTCCCATTCTGGATAAAGAGATTCTGAATCATAAACCTTACTCTGTTTTACAGCTTCTCAAAACAAACCCAGTCTAGTTCCATTGGAGCTAAGCGCATGCAGGGTAGACTGTAATTCCAGCAAAAGATCAATACCTTGGTAACTGGAGGTGGGGGAGAAGAAGAAAGCTACAATACTTTGCATGGCTGTGGGCTTAATTTATGGACTGGTGACCCATAGGTCCACCTAACAATAAATTATTCATTTGTAAGTTTACTTCTCGATAATCAGAAATAAGAGGTGGTTACAGAGATTCCAAATCCACCAATGCAAAATTAGGCCATCGTTCCTGTACTAATCTCTCAAGAAGGGATAGTACCTAATTCAATATGTTTTTAGTCTCAAAAGTGACCTAAATGTTTCAGCAGCTCCTGGATCTGAAAGAAGTAAATAAATTCCTCAGCCTGCCTTCCTTACAAATTGAGATCTGAAAATCTGTCCAGTAGATAAGTTGATACTTTTCACATGTTACATAAACCTTTTCTTCAAAGCTTACAGGATTTTACCAAACAAATAATTAAACTTCACAAAATCTGTGTGAAGTAGGTCAGTATAATATTCACTTTGCGGAAGGAAAAATTGAGGTACAGAGAGGTGATTTGCCAGCCATCACATTCTGA